GTTTTAGAGCTCCATTTTACACTGACCTAATAGCTATTTAGGAACTGAAGCATCATGCTGATGGACCACATCCATAGCAAGCTGGCAGAGTCATCCCAGTGTCATCCGTAGACAAAATAGGGGAGAAAGGTGACTACTCATGTGAGTCCAAGAAAATTATGTTAATTTCTGATTTCAGTATCCTAAATATGATATTTTTGACTTGGAGATCCTTTTTTTTTTTAATTTGGTGGTCTGGTGTTTTGGATTGCTATGCTCAAGCTTTAAAGGAATGATTTTATTTTAATCCAGTCTAAAATGTAAAGGCAAGTATCATATTCTTACAAAGACCAAGAAATCTCTGTAAACGTTTAAGTGAAGCCAACACTTTCTCAGTCAGATACCCTCCTCTGATAGTCAAAATTGCAGCACTGAGTCTCCTTAAGTTAAACCAGGAGTGAATGAAAATTCAAGCAAAATTTGTAACAGGAAGGATATCTTTCATTAGGTCAACTAATGCAGTTAAAGATAAGAAACAGATAAACTTCTGTGTACACAAACACTCTGCCATGCACAAAGATGAAACTGGATTTGATTTTTGTTAAATAATCACCAGCACATGTATTAAAATGAATAGAGAAAAGGAGTGGTTACTGGCAGATGAGCTGACTCGTTAAATTTCTTTTTGCAGAAGTGCTCTTAGTATCATGGGTGGAGAGACTTGCCTATGGCACTCTTTGAATTGCCTGGATCCTTTTAAGAATTTTTCGTTTACGTTGAAAAATTGCCGAGTAGTAGCTAAAGATTTTGGGGGAACAAGCACTGGAGAATGATGTACGGACCACTGTGGTGAAAGTAGCCCAGGAACAAGATTGGTGGCTTTCAAGAGGTTCCTCCCTTCCTTCACTCCCTTAAACCACACACAAAAACACATCCTAGGTGGTCTAGGAGGCGTTGCCTAGAAGTACAAAGTGCCTGAATTGCACATGTGATTGTTACACTGGGATAAAAGCTGGAGTCGGGACAAGGGCAGATCCCGCTGCTTCAGTATTTGTACTTTTTGACAAGCCCATTTGGCAAGCAGCATAACAAGAGCCTAACAAGTGGATGGACATATGGGGAGGCAAAATAATTGTGCATTAGGAAGACCGTGCAGATGTGAGCTGAAGTAAGGGCGTAACTCCATATGGCGCATTGCTGACCTTCAGTTGGTGCCTGAATGACAGTACGCGGTGCGGGTCGCACCATCTGAGGGATGCTGGACTGGGAGCAGGGCTGAAACCAGACAGAACTGGATTTACGCAAATTGCTTCCTAGAAAACAATAAAGCAGCTACCAACAGCTGTTGTGCCTGAGATCACCATCGTATTACTGCACCTTGCAACTCTAATGCTTTCCTTAAAGCACTTACTGTACACCATGCTTCTGGAAAAAGTACTGTTACCACTACTAAAGTCGTGGCAGCTCTTAAACCTTGTGCAGGAGAAGCACAGGTGAGTATGCAAGAGATCTGATTTTTGGCTATGTTCTCTAGGGTTTAAAAGCCTTTATATGCCTTTGGAAAGGAAATTACTTAATCCTTTCAAATGCAGAATGTTAAAAATCCCATAGTTTGCATGTTTATTTGAGGAATATCACGGATTATTTTTTTTTAATAAACTTACCCTAGAGACTTGCATGTGGGCTAGAATAGCAGTGGCACTCTTACTGGGAAAGTGTGATGTGTGGAAGGCTTAATTCTTCAACCTAGAAATTCTTCGATGAAGTATACTTTGTAAGTCCAAACGATGACTTACGATTTATTATCATTTGTTCCTCCCTCTCCCTTTCAATTGTTAATCCTACCACTGGCAAAGAGTTCGGCCTCATTTTATCAATGGCTTCTTGAAGTACTTGGGAGGATTTGCTCCAGTATTCACCAGAAGTCTTTGATATATGAGATTGTAGGCTAACACCGATAATCTTTTGTGAGGAAGTGTCACAATACATACATCGATCATCCAAGCCTTTATCTGTCAGACTCTCCCAACCCAACCGTATTTTTCATGACACAATGCAGCGCATGGCCTTTAAATTACCCATCTGTCTGACAAATCAGTGAGTGTGGCAGAAACTGGCAGCAGTTTGACGTCGCCTATCACTTTAACTGAAGTGAAAGTAATGCAAACAGATTTATGGGATCCCCTTTGATTATAGACTATGAATATATTTGGAATTGATGTTTGGGAGAGGAACACAACAGAGAGGCAGGAAGGGCTTGTAGGCAAAAGCACTAGTGGTGGGTTTGAAGCTTTGCATTTAATGAGAGGGATTGTTCTGTCCTTACTTTTTTCTCTCCCCATATGGTGCATCTACTCAGAATACCTTCCCCTTTTTTTGGTGAGTTGTTGGGGGTTTTTTTGGGAGGGTGATTATTTAGCTGTTCTAAATTGAAAACTTTAGAGATAACAAGGCTGAGTTTTCTTAAATGCATTTGCAGAACAGCTGTTAGATATATCTGTAACATTCATTGTGTGATGATAATATTGCTGAGTTTCCAAGTGTGCTCTGAATACAATGGAGCACAGCAGAAGACAAATAGCTGACAAGGATGGCTGCTTGCTACAGTGCTGGTGAGGACTTACGTTCTCTGATGGAGTAGAGCAAAGCATTGACTCGTTTTGTTTGATCTGATGGTTTTATCTTTGTTGCAGGAGTAGCCAAGGCCTTGGCTGTTGCCCTGTGCCTCCATGCAAAGGCTCTGGCCTCAGTATAGTATTGCCATGAACTGGGTTCATAACCAAAGTCTGCTGTAAGTCTGGATTTTTAGAAAGGGGATTTTTAACCTACTTATTGACGCTGTTGTTAAGTGTAGTGGTGAACTGTGGTGGTGAAAGCTGGGACTGAGAACTACTGAGTATGTCTTATGTACAGGCAACAACATGCCCATTCAAACAACTCTTGCCTGCAGCTGAGCTCTTGGAGCTCTGAGCATTCCAATTTAAGTCAGTGGTAGGGTGGTACCCTTTGGGTGTTGGTACATTTGTTGAATCATTTTCTGAGCTCTTTGGAGCTTACATAAGCTTCTCTTGATACATTATTGCCTTTCTCCATAGAAGCCATAGACTTAGGAGATTCTCTTCTTTTTGAAGAAATAGTTTTCATGAACAAAGGTGCAGACGTTGGAAGTCACTTTAACAACACAGATAGTTGTGGTTCATCTGTGATGGACTTGCCTGGATTCCAGGGGAAATCATAATTTGCAGCGTTGCCACAGAAACTGAGATCCTTCCCTGAACACCTTCAGAGTTTCCTCATGCCAGGCAGCAGTGAGCTAGCAGTGATCTGTCACTGGTGTGGTATTTTGTGTTCCCCTGTTATCGTGGCCCCTGGTTACTGAGGTCATGATGTACAGCTGCTTAGCTCTGTGATAAGCTTTTCTAAATCTAGAGTCCTTCTGCTGAATTTTGTTAAGGAGGCGTTGGCATGACCTCTAGCTGAAATCTAGCATGCAACCTTAAGCCTCTGGCTGTCATCAGCACCATGGCTCTGTGGTTCTTTCAAAACAGTAGAACGAAGGTGCCTTCTGCAACAGGTAACTTTCTAAACAAATCAAACGGTTTTGGTTTTTTTCTTTTCCTCCACTGTTTGCCTTGAAAAGAGAGAAACAGGTAACATTGCTCTCTGTGCTAAACTGTAGATGCTCTTTTCATTAGGGTGATTTCTACATAGAACAAAACAGGCCAAAGCAAAAGGTGCTGGTAAATGGAGTTCATCACTGATGGGATGGGTACTTTCCAGCCCACAGTTACTTATTTGGAAACCACAGCCCAGCTCCTGTTGGTAGTTGGGCTGTTGGCAGTGTCACTCCTGCATTTTCAGGCAGTCTTTGTCACCAGCCTTTGTACATGATGATGAGAGGCCTTTTTGACTTCCAGGCACAGGCTTATGCCAAGCTTGTGGCAGCTGGGTTCTTGCATAAGCATCTCCTCCCACCTCCCTTGCAAGGAGTTGGAGTCAGTGATGCCAACTGTTGCGTCTTCTCACACAAGGTGATGTCTGCAAGATTTCATGAGGCCTCCACAGAAATAGTAGGGCAGTTTGTAACAAAACTTGGGTGTCCTGGGGAGGAACAAGTACAACAGACAGCAGAGATCTTGGTATCTGACTGAGGTTGTCATGTAGATTTTGAAGTGCCCAGGAGCCTCTGGCTGCTTCCCACAGGGAAGGCTAGGTGGTCTTTGGGGTCTGTCTCTCTTCCTGTCTGGAACTTGGTTAGTGGGAACCTATGCAAAGCTTTGTTTTGGCTAAAGGAAACCCTCATGTATTTGCCTTTAGCCCCTAGTTGACTAAGACATCCCCAGTGCTTGCTGTTTTTTCAAACCCAAGCTACTCCTGTGTTAAAATCTATCCACAGTTCTCCCATCAGGTCCTGCCTGCATGAATCCCACATCCATTCTGAAAACACACTCGTTGGAGAGCCCATTGTGCAAGTCTTTCACCCTGTTGGTGTTTGTGAGAGAAGCCACATCTACACTGGAGCACAGAAGAGAGATGTAGCATTCACAGCACGGACACCAGCTAGGCTGGCATCACTGTGAAAAAGAAAGCTACAGATAGTGTCTTTGCTGAGGATGTTCTCTGGTGTAATGCTGTCTGCTGCAAGTTTTCTGAAGCACAGCTTTGTCGGTCAGGGATGTCATCAGGGCAGGCATGACTTTGGTGGAGCTGTGGCTTTAGGCATGTTCTGCATAGCTCTAGTAGTGGAGCAGAGAGCAATTCACAGTGGGGTACCTTTTGATTTAAACCAGTTCTAGGCTATTCTTTGTAGGCAGGAACTCTGAAACCCAGGGAAAGGATTGGTTTCTAGTGCTGATCTTTAGTACAACGTGGTCTGAATGTCATGTCTAGGACCCAGTGAATGATACTGGATGAAGATCTCTAAGCACAGCCTGATCCCTCTGCTTATAGTCCCTTTGGCTAACTGCTGATGAGTCAAAACACCTGCTTTTTATGAATAATGAATTTTTCTTTACCTCTAGGGTAGATGCATAAACTTCACTCGGGTGAAATCGGATGGGACCTCTGCCCCTTACAGCCCACCACCAAAGCTGCCACGGCGTGATGATGTGCCTCTCAACAATGCTTCAAGGAATTCTTCTCCTCCTGTGTCTCTGCAGCCCCCTTCTAGACAGCCACCTCCTGGACCACCCCCAGCCCGAGCACCTCCTGGACCTCCTCCTTCACGCCCACCCCCGCAGCCCATGGCTTAGAGTGCAGCAAAACCCTGATTGACAAAACATGTCTCTTTGCTGAACACGGCATATTTATTGAGTATTGGTTTACAGTTAAAGATATCAGAATTTGTTGCTGGTCAGCAAAAAAAGAAGAAAGAAAAAAAAGAGTAAAATTACCAAGTGTCAATTTTAGTGTATGAATATATTTATACCACACGTGCTGTGTAAACATTCAGTGGATAGATTCAGAGCTATGGGGCATAGAAACAAACCAAAGTGATCATCTAGATACAGTAGCAGCTTTTGTATGTATACATGTGAAGATCTATTTACATATGACACTTGACTGACTTGGTATGTCAGATCATTCATTAATAACTTTAGCCAGTACACCTGCATCAGTTGTTCTGATAGCTGCCACCTGCAAGTTGGTTAAACAATGCTTATTGAGGAATTTGCTTTCTTTTCCCTAACAGTACTACACCCAGAACAGTAATTGCAAAGATAACTTTCTGCCTTTGGTTCTGCAGGTGAAATTTCCATGAAAGCTTATAAGAAGGCTTTAGCTTAATAATGAGGTAAGATGAGACTATGTGCCAATAATCTAGCAGAAGTAATCTATTATAGAAGAGGGATGTATTTTTCTCCTGAGAAAATCAGTTCTGAGCCTGCCATCTCTGCATGTTTAGACTTAGTTGCATAGGATAGCCACTGAAGGCCAGATATTGGTTCTGAAGTCCAAACCTTGAACAAGACCTGGGTTCAGATTTGTCCAAATTTCAGAGGAATTTTGAGGAAAACATTTTGGCTAGGTGTTTAGTTTTTCATTTACAGAAAACATGGTCAAAAATGGAGCAAATATACATGCAATTCGGACATGAAGGCTGTAATATGCAACAGCATACGTTGCTTATATCAGCGGCATTGAGGGACTGATTCTGTTGCTGTTTAATTAGATAAATTTCCTTTTGGTCTTGCTGCCAAGCAGAATTAGATCCTCTTGTAATTCAGACATGAATTACTCTATTAGTAGCTCTTTCTTAGATAGCCCAGATCCCACTGATATGTAACCACAGTCTACCTGTGGTCGAGAGGCATGGCATGAAGTGTCAATATGAGCTTTTATCCCTGTTTTGTATAATATTTGGCTAGTGGATTTCCCAAACATTGTGACTGCTTGCCCATGACCTAAATTCTGTGTGTCATCAGAAGGTGATGTGAACACCCACAAAGAGGTGGAAGTTTTATGACGCGGGACTGTGGGACAGCCCATGGATAAGGCTCACTAAGCAATACCTGGGTGGGTTGTGCCCAAATCATTCCCTAGTGAATCAAAACAACACCTGACCTTGCTCTTTCTCCACCACTACCTATCCTACTATATTGGAGAGCGTGGCTGCAAATCCCTGTGCTGGTTCACCTTGGCACCAGCTCTGTTATTAGGATAGTTGTAGAAATAATCTTTATGTTGCATTATGAGACAGCATATACCTATCTCTCCATCTGTATGTGGGTGTGCAGCACATCACAGTAGATATTGGCACATAAGTCCAAGATAAAATGCTGCCTATATCATGCAATTACTCCAAGTTACAGGCATATAAAGTTGCACTGGTATAAACAGAAATAAAGCTTACTATTTCCAGTGGAAGTCCCACTTGCAGAACACCATACCAAGCTCTCATCAGTCTATGCTGATCACTGACCTGCCGTGTGTATGCAGCTGAGGCTGTCAAAGATAAACTCAGAAGAACCACAGAGCCTCTTTCTCCTCTTGCACTGCTCTGCTCTCTTGAGTTAGGCTCTTACCTCATGTATGTTGGTGCAAGTAGTGGAATCACAGTCATGGGTGCCAGCTGGCCTTGGAGTTGTTCCTAATTTAGGCTTGAGCCAGTAAAGCACTTCTGCATGCATAAAAATGTCCTGCAAGTCAAGAGGAACATCCTTATGCCCAAGTACTTTGCTGACCTGTGACTTTGTTGTGATCAGAAAGGAGAATTGGGATGCACTCAATCCTGTCCTCATTGGTCACTTGAAGAGGGTCTGCATAATTTGGTCCATAAGAATGGATTTATGTTTGGAGGAGAAAGAAGTGTGTGTGTGTATGTGTGTGCATGCATCTGTGTTTGTGTGTGAGAACTGTGTAAGTTTTTGTTTGGTTTCTCTTCCTTTACAAAAACTGCTCAGCGAATAGCACTCCTACGAATTGTAAGGCCTTTTGCAGCCAGTGCAACATGCAGTCCCAACTTGTCTCCATTTCTTTCAATGGAAAGTTGAAACTAAAGTATGTCCAATTTTCCACTGCTGTTCTGGTGAATCCCCACTTTTGATGCCAGTGAAAGGAGCCAGATGACTGCAGTGACGGGGTAGGGACCTGGATGTGGGGGGAAGATGCTATACAAGCAGAGATCATTGGCTGACAGTATTCTGGTCATAGGGAAGCCTATGCGAAATAAACTTGCTGGGTCTAAGACCAGTTGTAATGTGTATCTGCAGTTGAACCTAACAGCCTCTCATGTTGACAATCTAAGAGTAATGAGCCAACAAATGCTAACCAGGAATTGAAATGGCAGAGGGCAATAACAGCGATTTCCCTGCAAGGACAAAACATGGCATTGAAGGTTAGCTGCTTGTGGGAGTGGGGGCAAATCACTGCTCTGTAGATGCCAAGTCTCATATCAGCAGGCAGTGATGAGATTGAAACAATGGTGGAGCTCACAAATGGTGTAATAATAAAAGAGAAAACTTGCTTACAGAATTAGTATCTGCTACTGAAGTTGAATTAATGAGTCAGGAGTACGCTTTAGCTAATGAAAAATCCTGGGAGCCAGGATTGTGTTGTCTTGTACCTTTACAGATCTTGAGAGGGGTCAGTAGAATTGTTGCAGGTTTGCATTGATCCTAGTGTTGGTAGAAGTTGATTCACTTCTAGTGAGAATGGAGGTGTTAGCTTAGGGAGGACTTCTCACAATAACACATTGCACATGCATGTCGTTTGCAGTTGAGGGGAATAGTTTTACTTTGCTGTAGTAGCCAGTCCTGTGGAGATAACGGATACTAACAATTTCCGCATAACTTGCAAGTGCAGTGGGTGTAGGAGTGGTTTGGGCTTCCCGGTGATAAGATTCATATATGGTAATGCAGGAAGCACCATGAATTTGAAAATTAGATTCAGCATAAGTGAAGTTCCCAGCATTTTCACTATGTAAAATTAAGCATTTGGTGTGTTAACTCAAGCTTTGGCTGTAGCTTCTGTGATGGGAGCAGTGCGGATTTGGTTTGCTGGTAAAGCATGAAGAAGAAAAAGTGAACCTGAACTGAATTGCCTTTGCAAAGGTGGAGGCAGCAAATGTGCTGCAACGGCTACAGAAAGGCCTTTTGGTTGTGTAGAAATGTACCTGTTTGCAGTGATCTCAGGCGCTATTAACAATGCAGTAGGAGAAACTGGTTGCTATTTTATCATCTGTTGAGCTTGGTCCTTACCTGGCGTAAATCAACATAAGCCAACTAAAATCAAGGCAGTTGTACTGGTGTCTTATCAGCTGAGAGCTGGCTCAGAATAAATTAAGGGACAAAAATCCCTGTAACAGGCTTGATATTTCAATGTTTGTTTCAGTATGCTTGTATGTCAGTTGTGATTACAGTAGTTACACTGCTGAGAAATGTTCTCATGTGGGATGATTCCCCTGTATTTTCCAGAATATAGCATCATTTGAAGCTTGCAAAAACTATTTTACACTTTCCCTAATCCAAGAGAAAAATGTGGATTCAGGGGACCTTTGGCTCATGTTTAGCACAGATGTGAAATGACACAAGGTGCAAAGCAGCGGGAAGGGAAACCCCATGTGTTTAAAGCTGATAGAGAACCACATTGATCAAAGCATATTTATGGCCATCTTTCAACCTCAGCGCATGTATTGCCATCTGTGGGAGTAGCCTGCAGAGCAGACGGTCCTAAATGTAAACAGGAAAAAAAAAAAAAAAAAAAGGAAAAGAATCAGCTCCTCATCTGAATGAGTGAGCATAACAATGAATGACATTATTTCATGAACTGTACCAGTTCAAATGCATGTGCACCTGGTGCTCCTAATGCTTTTTACTCCTGTTGGTCTTTAGACAAACATGACCAGTAATATGCTTTCTCTCTTTTATTGTTTGCTGATTTTATTGTTGATATTATGTTTTGTATGTTGTTTTTTTAAAAAAAAAAAATTCACTGAGAAAACAGCCCTACTTCTGTAAATATAGAGTTTAATTTGGAGGAGACAGCACACTTCTGGATGTTACTGCTGGACAGTTATTTATTAAAAGGGGCTTAAGGTGAATAAAAAGAGGTGGCTCAGGATACATGCATGCAAGTGTGATAATGCAGTATAGCATTTTCAGTTCTCTGTAGATTTAGGGGAATGGGAATTTTGGGGTCATCCTAGTTTGTTTAGAAGTTTGTTACTGATCAGATGCTTTTGAATAATGCAGTAGGGAGTCCTAACATATAACAGTGCTTGAACAGATGTGTAGATTACGGTAGATTTTTCTTGGGGGGAGGGGGTAGTGAAGGAGAAATGTTTTAGTTTTTAAGGGAAAAATTGTACTGTACTAAACTTTTTTTAGAAAAAGACACGTGTTTTCAGAAACAGTGTGGATGTGGGCTGATAGACAGCCAGGGCATGGAGATAAGGGACAGAGGAAGCAGTTGGATTTTTGAGGGACAAAGAAGTTTTACATGGGGATGTGGGTTTGTTACTGGTACATGTGGTACAAATTTCTGTAACTAACATGCTGCTTCCATGTTATAATCATGTAACCTTTATGCATTTTATGCGCCTGCTCCAGTTTTCTGAGAAAACCTTGCAAATGTAATGCCTGCATGCAAATGTGGGAGATGTAGCCCGAGTCTTATAATCCAACATAATGTAGTCTTAATGGATTCAAAATTAAAAATAAAAGTGCTTACTGGTTAAACACTACAGAGAATTTAATTGCAGGGTCATTTTAGGAGGGGATAAGCTTGTCTGTACCTGGTTTCTAATCAGCTC